ATTCATAGGAAGTATTAAAACTAAACCCGGGGTGCCTGGGGATGTCTTTATAATTTAACCCCCGGCCAAACTTTTTATTTAAGTTTTAGGTGCAGAGGGTTTGAACCTCTTTTGTGTTTTAATGCTGTTTTAGGCCTCGGTGGGGAGATTTGCCATTACTTCCTGCTGCAGTGACAATGTTATTACCAGAGAGGAAGTAAGAGAAATTATGCATTAGTAAAAATCTGGCAGGGCATTGAGCTATCCCCTACTCTTTAAAAAAAAAAAGTGTTTTTACTGTTGTCTGTGTCCTTATTCAAGAAAATATACTCACCCGATCCTTAGAGCCGGCTTGCTCTTCCCGATCCCTGGAGCCTCTATCCCCCTAAACTTCAGCGGTCCAAAGTCCTGCCAGTCATCACATCTAATACACTGTGTATAGGATGTGAGGAAGCCGAGGGACATAAAATCACTGCAGCGGAGGAGGAGACAGGCTGGAGGGAGCGCTGTCACAGCCGGCCGGCTCCAACGATCGGTGAGCATAACTGTTATTTTTTGCCTTAGAAAAAAACTGAGCACTTAACCCTTGCAGTGCGGGGGGAGCTCCACTGCAAGGGTTAATTCATTTTTAATGACAGTTCTACCTTAATGTCATCAGTTTGACCCGTCCCTGTGTTTATTTCTCCCATGTTCCTGATAAACTGAAATAAAGATTAGTATATTTGGAGGAGTCAGCATTTGAGGAGTACAGTGAGAGTACTGGGAACGGGTTCAGTGCCTGAAGACACCTTGGTGGTCCTTCTACTTACTGCGATCGTCACCACCGTCCGGTCAGCAAATGCCGTCATCACTACCTTCTGCAAAATGTTTTCCTACACAGAAAAAAAAACGGAATTTATCATATGAACCTCCTAATATGATCCAAAGTATTCCAATATTCTAATAGGATACAAAGTATTCTAATATTGTAATATGACACAAATTGTTCTAATATTGTAATATGACACAAGTATTCTAATATTGTAATATGACACAAAGTATTCTAATATGACACAAAGTATTCTAATATGATACAAAGTATTCTAATATTCTAATAGGATACAAAGTATTCTAATATTCTAATATGACACAAAGTATTCTAATATGACACAAAGTATTCTAATATGACACAAAGTATTCTAATATTGTAATATGACACAAAGTATTCTAATATTGTAATATGACACAAAGTATTCTAATATGATACAAAGTATTCTAATATTGTAATATGACACAAAGTATTCTAATATTGTAATATGATAATATTCTCTGCCAATATAAATAGATATCCAAATGTTCCAAATGTATCTTCTTAAACTTGTTACCCAAAGTTATGCAAACCTGTGTAGCTAACAATGCAGTGTTTGTGAAGCTCGTGTTTTCTGTGAAGGATATTCCATGTAGAACAATAAAAGAACCCTTTCAACTTATCTATGAGCATACACCATGATATGCAAGAATAATTCAGTATTAAATACATACACTGAGTGGCCAGATTATTATGACCACCCCATCAGTACTTCGTTCGGCCACAAGATGATTCCACGAGATGACTTCGTTGGGCCGCCTCGTGACTCCACGAGATGTTGAAAGGTGATGCGAGGAATCTGACACTGCACTGTTGCCCTTCTGTTGTCTTGTACCAGTCTTGCCACTCTCCGTTCTGCCCTAACATTGACTAGATGGCCACAATTCGCACGTTCAGACCCAGATTTTCGGCTGACAGTCCAGTCTTTAAACACTTTAACAACAGCCCCTCTTGAACATTTACGAATTCTGCTGTTTTGCTGATACTCGCTCCATGGCTCCGAGCGCCAACAATCATCCCACGTTCAAAGGCTGTTAAATCGCGTTGTTTACCCATATCTTCAGAAACAAATCACTTCTACTGTCGTGGTAAACAACCTGCTTACCTATTTATAATGGTCTGGCCCTCTAGCAACTTCAGCGCCAAATTATAGCTAATTTGCCTACAAACGTCAGGTGGTCATAATAATCTGGCCACTCTGTATTTCTGTTATAATAAGATACTCTACAGGTTGCTAGAATTAAGTCATTTAACTGCTATGTAATCATAATAATAATACTAGTAATACATATGTTAATTAATGTCAATATAAAATATGTAGGTTCATATGAAAAGCCAACTACATGTGATACAAAGTATTCTAATCTTCTAATAGGATAAAAAGTATTCTATATTATTCTATATTCTGTCCTTTAGGACAGTTTATAAAATTAAATAAAACTCCGTCCCGAAAAAGTTCTAATGGTGTATGGAAGAATTGGTATCGCTGTCAGGTTTTTATTGTTATCCGTATCCCCACTGGGGAGATTCCTGTCCTTGTGTCACAGAAAGTGAGGGCAGGTTATCTCTTCAGTGGGGTCACAGATGACTATAAAAACCTGACAGAGGATCTCACTTTTCACTACTTTGTGTTTTGGCTGGAGACGGGCTGTGAGATGAATTACCTGTTTTCTTAAAACCTGAAAACGTGCTATAAAACCAGATCACCACATTCACTTACGGTGGCCATGTCAATGGATGCAGTGGCCTCGTCCATGATTAAGATGCTGCTCTTGCGCACGAATGCTCGGGCCAAACAGAAAAGCTGCCGCTGTCCCACGCTGAAATTTTCT